AATCAGTAACTCAATAGTTTTTTAGTAGGCGCCCTGAACAAAAAACAGGAAGGGGTGTCAAAATGTAAAAAAAAAAAAAAAAAAAAAGTGCCTCTGTGAATTAATTCTTTCACCTGTTGAATAAAAGCCTCTGTTCCACAAACCACTGTTCTGAATAGAAGCTGACATAGCAGCCTTTCTACCATCTTCCATACTATTTATGAAAGCATCATAAGCAACATCTTTAGTGTATACTGAGTCAGAAACGGAAGGATCAGATTTGGGACTTCTTTGGTATGAGAATGCTGACTTCCACGTTGAGCATCAGCAACTGTTTTATCTTCTAGAAGCACTTTCAATGCTGAGGGCAGCAACCGAGCAAGTTCTCCTATAGGACTAGTGATCTGGGCTTGGTACTGGAGGTTGATGTGGCTTTTCCTCAGTGGTGGCTACAATTGTATCATCCACTTTGGGTAACTGAATCAATTGGTTGGGACACTTACTCTCCTGAACTCAGCAAAGGAATCGAGGGGAAGGGCCCTGTTGTGGCAGGCCCAAGGGTCCAAGTGTAGCCACTGAATTGAATGCATCTTCCAGATGAGGTGAACAGATACCTGGAAATACAGGCAAAGATAACTTTGGCATGGATGCCGAAGAAGGGGTACAAGGAGAAAGAGCTGGAAGTAGAAAGGAAGGCAAGGCCTGCCTGGTAAGTCTGACGGTAGTGCCGAGAAGAACAGTAACAAACAGTAAAGGCCTTCACAGACCCAGCATCCCCTGTATTTTCAGGAATGGAGGAGTCACTGGAGGAGTCCAGGAAGAATGCTGGTAGGACTTAGGAAGGCCATGAAGAGAGAGCAGGGACTGGTCTAAGAGGTAGTGGTCCTGTCATGAGAAGCCCTTGTATTGAGAATGAGGAACAGATTGGGGAAATCTGCCCCTGTGAAGAAGCATTAGCTGTGCCATAAGAATGAAAATTCTCTTCATGCTGTATTTGACTGTTTTTCCTGTTTCAGAATCATCCCTGTCCACTGAAAATGCTCCTACATCCCATCCCACCCCAGGCATGTCCTGCCACTCAATACAGTGTGGGCTGAGAAAGAGACATTTCTGTTACATTCTTTTCTTTCCCTGATTTTCAGACATCTCTGCAAAGTGTGCACTCAGTCCTGATGTTTTTCCTTAACATTGTTATCTGGCACACTATCATCATCGTGCACAAATCCATTCCTTGAATCTCCCTGTGTAATCTCAGTATCACTGTCAGGAGCACTTCATCATGCTTATCTTTGTGTCCCCAGGATAGCCTTCGTCTTCACAAGTGCTCGAACACCATCATGATGACCTCTAGGAGCCGTTCAGGATTATACAGCAGTCTTCCCTTCAGCTATGAAGGCAAGATCTCACTTTATGGTAATATATGTCTGCAGCACATGGAGAGGAGATGGCCCATGTAAAAAGGATTTCTGCCGAGGGGTAAACATGAAACACCATGCTCAAGAAGAAGAAGGATAGAAGCAGCTCAAGTTGGTGATTCATAGGTTTTCTTAAGAATAGAGGGAAGCTGGGCGCCAGGAAACGGATGTCCTGGATTCAGATGTTGCTTGGGCAGGATATTCTGTAGGTGTCTGTTAGTCCCATTTGATGTAAGATGTCTGGCAAGCTTATCTGACAAAGAAGCACTCTGTTTCCAAAGGCTGAACATTGTGTCCAGAACCAGAATACTGGCTCAGTTGATCCCTTTTCTGTTAGTCTTCTACTTCTGGTTCTCTCAATTCTTCAGAAACATCTGGATTCTTTTCTTTCGTAAAGTCATAGAATATGTTCAAAGTTTCCAACACATCTTTTTATCTTTGTTTTCAGTACTTTCTCATTTAACTGCAGTTGTTACATTAAGTTAAACACCATTTCCTTCAATTTCTTGGCATCCATAATCTTAGGGAGATGTTGATGTTTTCAAAGCTATGGGGCTTTGAGGAGAGATGGCTCAACGGTTAAGAGTTCACTGTTCTGCATCTATGTCAAGTGGCTCACAATTGTCTGTAATTCCAGTTCAAGGGCTTAGACACCCTCCTCTGACATTTCCAGGCACCTGCAGTAAGATGCACATATCCACACACAGACACACACCCATACACATAACTGAAAAATAAAATAAAGGGGCTGGAGAGATGGTTCAGTGGTTAAGAGCATTGAATGCTCTTGCAAACAACCCTAGTCCAGCTCCCAGTAGCTACATGGTGGCTAACACCATCTGCAGTCCTATTTGCAGGGGACCTGACACCCTCTTCTGGCCTCTACAGATATTGCACACATGGCTGCACTTACACTGATGCAGACAAAACACTCATATACATAAAATAAAAATAAATAAAATTTTAAAAACACTACAGCTCATATATCATGTAC